GAGAAATTTGTGTTAAATTTGGCTTGTTTTGTATAACTTTCTATGAAATGTGTAGTAATTAAACAGAATAGGCATTAATTAAGAATAACATGTGTTACTTTTTTTTATTTGTGGCTCTCTTACAGAGGGTTACCGCCACCAAAAATTGTGGGGGTCCATATGAATATTTTCCTTACGTTTGTTTATGCGGAAAAACAAATGTGGCAAAAATATTCATTAAATTCGTACGCAAACACTTCTCCGCATTAAACACACTCCACAAATTATTCAACAAAAACACAGTAGAAATCAGCTACAGTTGCACTGAGAACATGACACAAATAATAAAAAAAGCACAACAGGAAAACAACCAACAAATCACCTGAACGAATTGAACCCACTGCAGAACAAATAACTAATGCCCCTTAAAGGGCAATTGCTTGCAGAACAATTTAATATACCAATCCACCGTCAAATCAGCAGATAAGGAAGAAAAAATATCCACAGGAGTAATTGAAGGACGTTAGAAACAAAGAAAGTACGCACACAAAACATCATTTACAAATAGTAAATAAGCGAACAGCAGAACGCTTTCTAAACATATCTGGGAGATAAAAACAAATCACGCCAAAAATAATAAGGAAAACATCAGTCGGAAACAATCAACTCAAAATCTGTAAATTCTATAAAAAAATAGCTATAACTGCCTTCTCAGACCAAAACAAACTACTAAATAAACGATAAGAAATTATCTCAAAATGCAGACACGAAAACAAATTTTTGTTACGTTATTTAAAAATCGACCTGTAAATATAAATAGTCGAGTAAAAACACAATGCTGATGGCCCGACGACTGTGTTAAGCATAAAACAGATTGTCGCCTCTTGGGGGTTGACATCACTGTTCACTTATATATATATATATATATATATATATATATATATATATATATATATATATAAATGATTAGAAGTTTAAACTTAATTCCCATTTTAAATCGGACCGAATTTAAATTTGAGTTTAAACTTCCAATGATTTTTTTTTCTTTTTTAACAACTTAAGTCTTTGGCAATTTCAACCCTGGAAAGATTAACAATCAAACAACGTGTTAAAGTTATCGAGGCCTATTACGAAAATGGACGTTCAAACAGAAATACATTTCGCGCACTCCACGATTTTTTTTTGGGGGGGGGTCAACATAATCGACCAACCGAGATTGCAATTGGAAACGATGTAACATTATTGTGGCGAGATTCAATTCCTGCGCGTGATGACGAATGGAGGTGTCTGGATTTTAGGCCACATTCTCGTGCACTGCAGCAATGTTTTCAGCTGAACGGCGTAAACGAACACACAATGGTGTTTTCACATCTGCCACCGACCCAGTTTGTTTGAATTTACGAACAATTTTTCCAGTTGCATTCTTGAAACCTTAACACGTTGTTTGTTAATCTTTCCATGGTTGAAACTGCGAAAGACTTAAGTTGTTAAATCTGAAAGAAAAAGAAATCACTTGACGCTTAAACTTAATTCACATTTAAAATCGATCCAAGTTATTGGGACACTCTTTAGTTCCTATACAACGCCATTTAACGGCATCCTAGCCAATTACATGGAAGTAATACACACACACACACACACACACATATATATATATATATATATATATATATATATATATATATACAGAGAGAGAGTTTGGTTGGACTCGCCTGGTAGTATAAGAGTGCCCATTTTAGGAACTACAGCCACCAACCGCCTAATGATTGCGTGAAAGCGCATGAAACTATTTACATTATTCGGACTATTGTCCTCATCTTTGTCGCCATATTTATTACAACGTTTCAGCCGTTGTACGCTCCGGCCTTCTTTAGGTGTCGAACTGAACCCTTTATTTCGGTCACTGGGTAGACTGTTCTAGTTCCACGTGTCATGTCTAATGGATGTCAGTTATCAGTTATCTCCTGTTAATTCCCTTCTCCAAGTTCTCCACCGCCTTAACCAGCTATTTGGGTCCTTTCAATGGATCTAACCAACACATGGCACAGTGGATAAAGGCGTTGGTTAGATCCAGTGACAGGACCCAAAGAGTTGTGAGTTCAATACCTGGTTAAGGCAGTGAAGAACTTGGGGAGTGGGGATTAATAGGAGATAATTGATATATATATATAACCAACGTCTTTATCCGAGTTCGAATTACAGTCGTTCTAATACCCTTTGGAAAGGTGTGAGTCCTCTTTTTCTTAGGCTATGGGTAAATAGCAGGACAGACTGGGTTCTAAAGCCTTGGATGGCAACTGGTCTAGGAGAAGGACAACTCTGAATTCAAAACCTACGGAGGGTCGTTTGGGGACCTTGTGGTACGTAGTGCACTAGGTCTCTGTATTCGTCCCTTCAAAAAGTGTGGATGGTTCTGCACGAAACCTTCACCACTATAATCAAATCTCATGTGCTGTTGTCGTATTCGACGGGAGAGTCGTGTGTGTGTGTATATATATATATATATATATATATATATATATATATATATGTAATATCATTCGCAGACAGTAACTGTTTCGCTGTATCACAGCTCCTCAGTGCGACTAGACAAGCCCGGATCGAAACCCAACTGATTTGGTGACAGTCAGAGCTTCTACCACTAAGCCATCTTCACTCGACAGAACGAGTCAGCCAAATCTAGTGTATTGTTTTTACAAATGTAAGCAAACGCCAAGCAGCCATAGTGCTCCATTTATTTTACTGAAGAGCTTCGCATTTACGCAGTTGACTGTTGTTTGTAGAATTAACTTGTCGTTCAACAGTGCTCAATTGAAATATATTTTCAAGAGCTAAATATATATATATATATATATATATATATATATATATATAGAGAGAGAGAGAGAGAGAGAGAGAGAGAGAGAGAGAGAGAAAGAGAGAGAGAGATCATGTTATTTATATGTATACAACTTATAAGTAGTAATTTGGACATTGCTAACCAGGAAGTTCTTTGTACGACGTCAGGACAAATGATGGTTTCCATATTGGATAAACATTCGATTCCTGTCGGAGAACGCATATTTTCTACGAAATTTAACGAACATTCAGGTTGGTAAATGTAATTAATAGTGTTTAATTAAAACAAAGCATTTACTCAAGTAAGTTGTATACACAAAAAAAATTATATATATGATAAGAATATAGTTTTAAGGCTTGCTATATTTATGGGTAAAAATACTCAATATCACAGAGCATATTTAGATATAACGATATGAAAGTGGACACTGAGTTCAACATCAAACGCCAATAGTGTGTTTCATGATTGAACACAATCTCCAGGCCTGAAGATTCCGATCAAGCCTGAAGCAGACTGTCGCCACTCGATGTTGACTGCAGTTTCCAATAATATATATATATATATATAATTATTTATTTAAAAATATGATTCCAACGATACATAAGAGTTCTCATGTTTCAAAACAAGAGCCGAAAACTTCAGCATAATTATTTGAATTAAATTGAATTAAAGTACTAAGCTCTGTTCCATCTTCAAGCGAAATTTTTGTATCGAGCACTATTTTTTAAAAATAATAACAAAAATAAGGAACTTTGGATTATTTACCTAACGAGTTCTTTCCTATTTTCTATATTTTTTACACACACACACACACACACACACATATATATATATATATATATATATATATATATATATATATATATATATATGTAATAGCTGGCCACTGAATTCGAGGATAACAGTCCACTAGGACGGCTAGCCAATCCCTATTGCAGACGCTCGCTCAGGTACATTTGTGTTTGTTCAACACGCACAGAGCCCACCTGTGGTTTATACTGCAAGTATGTTGAGCAGACCTTAAATACAGTTTCTGGGAGAGAGCGTGTTATCTAGCGTGATCAACAATTTGAACAAGGCCAGCACGCTCAAGCCCTCGGCCACGATGACTTTTGGGTTCGTGCTAGCACAGTTATCGATGGTCGCCATGCGTTCCGTCTACCCAATTTCACTCGTAAGGCTTGGGTCAACCCGTGGTATGGTTTTCAGGCACATTCCAAAGGTGCCGCACGCTGGGATTGATCCCGATCCAGTACGATACAAACACACACACACACACACACACACACACACACATATATATATATATATATATATATATATATATATATAATTAAAGACATTTTTATGTTTAACGTTGTTATTTTATAGATACAAGTATTTAAGCAAATGCTCTGTTTATGATAAACAGTATTAAATAACATTTACCGGCCTGAATGTCCGAGAAATTTTCATAGAAAATATTCGTTCTTTGACAGGATTCGAACCTGCATCCTATACGGAACCGTCATATACGCTGACGTGCCTTACCTCTAGGCTACAAAGAACCAATCGGTTGACAAGGTCGAATTTACTGCTTATAAACTCCAATCTTCCATGAATCTCGTACATTCATAACTGCTCTGGCGTATCGAATGTAAATAAATGACGTAAATATATATAACCACTAATCGTACGTTAAGAATATATTTGGAGTATCCTAACATACATTAGTTTTTTTCAGGCAGAGGCAGCGTACCCAGTAGATTAAAGAATAAATTTAGATAGATAGATAGATAGATAGATAGATAGATAGATCAGCTGTGTATGGTTTCTGTCAGGTTCACGCTTTAAGCCGAAGTAATTATTCAACCTACTTTTTATATCTACAAACACTCTTTACCTGATAATGCGTACTTATCCCGCATATAATATGCCAACATTTTAAACAATATATGTGTGCGTTTGTGTGACCATGAGTGGTGACAGAAAGAGAGAAAGAGAGAGAGAGAGAGAGAGAGAAAAAGTGAGAGACATAGTTAAAGTGAGAGAGAATGAATAAATAGATATTAACCTTCAATTTGAACCTGAATCAGAATAAGCCAAGTATAAAATTGCTAATTCCTTTATAAATCTGGAGATAAATGAGAAATTATTAAACAACGTCGTTTGAATAAGCTTGTGTTTCGGAAAATTTCCTTAAAAAAAATAAACATCCTCCAACAGAGAGCAAGGATGTAAAAAGGAGAGCATGGATGTAAAAAGGAGAGCATGATGTAAAAAGAAGAGCATGGATGTAAAAAGGAGAACCTGATGTAAAAAGGAGAGCATGGATGTAAAAAGGAGAGCATGGATGTAAAAAGGAGAGCATGGATGTAAAAAGGAGAGCATGATGTAAAAAGGAGAGCATGGATGTAAAAAGGAGAGCATGGATGTAAAAAGGAGAGCATGGATGTAAAAAGGAGAGCATGGATGTAAAAAGGAGAGCATGGATGTAAAAAGAAGAGCATGGATATAAAAAGGAGAGGCAATCATTTGAATTGTAGATAACGTCGTTCGGATAGATGGTTGGAATTGAAACGAAGAAAGGAATCTTTTTTTTATGTTCCATGTCCAGTCAGGACGTAGGCGATGATGGCTCTCTCCCTCCCTCTATCTCTTGCAGCTCTCAACAAGTTTCTTCCATCTGCTTCCTCCCCGCAGACTACGTTCTGTCATTCACTTGCTTAAGCCTGCTAGGTATGTCATGCATTGTTTTCCCCTGTCTCTTTTTCCCCTCTATTCGACCCGTGAGTATCAGATTTTCCAGGCCCTCCTTCCTCATTATGTCCCAGAAACTTCAGCTGCCTCTTTCTGATGTCAAGTATAAGCCTCTTCCTTGTTTGCAACCTAAGACCTCATCATTGCTCACACGCTCGATCCATGATATCCTTAGCATCCTTCTGTAGAACATCATCTCCGTCGTCTCGAGTCTCTTCTTCATCTTTGATGAAATTTTCCAGTATTCGCTGCCGTAAAGAAGGTCATATGTATTCTTTTCTTTGTTACCAAAGAAATCTTCCTGTCTCGCAGTGCTCTGTCCAGCTTTTGGAATGTGTCCTTGGCCATCCCGATATATATATATACGGATCTCAGTGTCACACTTACCGTCCTCTGTCATGACGTTTCCCTGATATTTAATCTTCCGCGTCTGCTCGATTCAAATCGCATTTCGGGTTCATCCTCTTACTGATATAGAACTGAATTTAAGAATGCAGTTGGGAGCGCTAAGGAACTTAAAAAATAAATAAATAAATAAATAAAAAGAATGAGTTGTTGGGAACGTTTAGAAAGGATCGAAATCGAGAAAGTTGTGAAAATTAAGGTCCATTTGGCTGGAAGACAGATAATTTCGAAGCTAGAAATAAGGCGAAAAACAAGAAAGAAAGAAAGAAAGAAATATAGTTTGACTTAGGTTCAGTCGTAGTAGACAGTGGGAAAATTTGACTCAAGCATAAAAAATGAAATTTGTGTCGCGCTGAAAGGTTTGCCATTCAACGAAGACTATCAACATTTCAAGTAGGGCGGTTGCTCTTTTTAATGCTTAAAAAAAGATGTAAACAGAAAAAATAAAACAAACAATAGCATTGCAGAGATGGAGTTGGTTTTCCTTAAATCAGGCGACATTTATGAATGAACAGCCGCCTTTCCCTTTCAATATACTGCTACTTGATTTAAACATACAAGGGTGCATCAATATGATGCGTAATCGTTAGCGTCTCAACTCGAGAAATCGGCGAGCCGAGTTCGAATCCCAGTTGAGTTTGTTACCCTTTTTTTCGCACAAATAGCATTGCGAAAAGTATGAATCCATTTCTTGAACCCCACCCCTTTGCAAGTTATGGGTCAAATAGGAGGGTATACTGGGCACTCTAGCTGTGGATGGCAATCAGTCTAGTAGGAGCGCAACTCTGAATACAAAACCCAGCCTCCTGAAGCTGTTCAAAGGTGCTTAACCATGGAGGGTAAATACTGTGCCACGATAGATTTCAACAAGTATCGATGATTCCACCGAAAAGAAACTATCCAGAATACTACACCAACAGACATTGGGTCTAAAGGAGGTGGAGGGGTGAATGGGTGCATCGGTAAGTTTGTATCCCAATACCGTTATATACTAAATTTTGATCTAACTTTCGGACCATATTTGTTTGCGTATATATATATATATATAATTTTTTTATAATTTTATTGATCAACAAACAATATTTAAAAAAATAGCATGACAAATTGGACAAAAAAAAATTTGATATGGATTTCATCCGTTACGATTTCATCGGACTAAACTTTGTTGATGTTGTCACGTCTACGCATGCGCACGAAACGAGAGACGCTGGTAGTTTCAAAATTTTTTCAATAATGTTTTTGAAATAATCTTTTTTAAGAATATCATTATATTATCATTTTTTTTCTGAAAAAGTTTTTTTCAATCTAGCCAAATTTATTTTTTCCACATTATGACACAAAATCTACCAAGAATAGTGATATATTGTAAATGCCTAGACGCAAATTTACTGTGGCTGAACTAGCGATCAAGGCACTTCCCAAACATTTTCGTCTTTGTGGATTATTTTCTCTTTTAATCAAGTTAGGATTCCCTATGTCAAAATTGTGGTCTTTTTTTTCTTTTTTTTTTTTTTTGTTACAGTGAAAAACAAATGCGT